AACATGGATACTATGGATCATTATTCGTCTGAACTACAAATAATGATAGTGCCCTCTGACATACTACAGTGTACTACAGAGCCCTGTCCTGCGTGCACCCATTTTGCTGATGCACCTCTCCGTGTCCCATGATTCCCTTTCGAACATTCTGTATTCCGAAGGCTGAACTCACACCCGGAAGCCAGCGCTTAACGACCGCAATCTTGGTGATACTTATGGGGGCAAGAAGATCGACGGACCGAATGGAACGGCGCGCGGAGCCGAGCAGAGCTCTTGGGCCGAGCTCCAGATGTCATCGTTAAAGGCGCGGCCGCCTTCGTCGCGCGTGTCTGCCGTCGCGCGGAGGTCAGCGCTCAGCGCGATGCACACCGGGCGGTGAGTTCCAGTGCGCGAGGCCTCGTTTCAGACCACACTTTTTGTTTATGGTCAATGAATGAAATATATTTGTTAGGAACCTACTACAGCCCCGCAACAATGGGGAGGCAGAGAGGAGGGCGACGATGCACCAGAGGAGGCGCCTGAGGGCGACGTGCACAGTGCGCGCAGGCGGGTGACGCGGATGTGGGTGATGCGGAGGGAACAGAGGAGGGCGATGCAGGTGGTGGGCAGCGCAGAGATGGGCAAGGCAGAGGTGGGAAACACGAAAGAAGAGGCCGCGAAGGAGGAGAAGGGCGACGCGGGCGGAGGCGGAGGCGGTGGAGGGCGACACGGAGGGCTCGCGGGAGCTACAGTGGTGATTCGCCAGGTGCATCCGTTGTGACAGCCTACCAGCAGGTGCGGATGTATCTGGTGCCGGCCGGCCCGGTCGCGCTCGACACCGCCTTCCCCAAGCGCGCTCGCGCACCGACGCTGTCCCGAGATGTCCGGACACCAGCGTCTCAGGCGCTGCCACCTGAGCTCGCTGTCTCCGACAGTGAGCTTGCCTCCCTCTTTTTTTCACACCACATCTTGCATATGATTAGTGATAAAAATATATTTGTTAGTAAGCTACTACATAGGTGCGCTAGTATGTAATACCACGCCCCGCGACAACGCGGAGGCAGAGGCAGGGATGAGACAGAGGGTTGGGACAAGGCGGAGGAGGAGGAGGGCGACGTGGACGATGTGAATGCGGGAGACGCGGAGGCGGGCGACACAAAGGCAAGCGAGGCGGAGGTGAGGGACGTGAAGGCGACGGGGAGGGCTCGCGGGGGGACGTGGAGGGCCCGGACGAGGCGGAGCAGGTGGTGGGCGACGCGGGCGGGGGTGCGAGATGCGAGGAGGGAGGAGGCGCAGAGCAGCGAGGGCGGGCGATGAGAGCGGAGAAGGGCCGCGCGGGCGGAGGAGGTGCGTGGAGGAGGGTGACGCGGAGGGCTCGCGGGAGGAGGCGGAGGCAGAGGAGGGCAGCACGCGCGGAGGAGTGCGAGGAAGAGGTGAGCGAGGCGGGCAGAGGCGGGCCATGAGGTGGGCAGCGCGCGCGGAAGCGAACGATGCGGAGGCAGACGAGGCGGAGGAGGTGGGCAACGCGGAGGGGGGGGACACGGACGAGGACGAGGACGAGGACGGAGACGGAGGCGGGGGGCCGGGACGAAGCGGAGGAGGGGGAGTCTAGCGACGTGCGTAGATGTGGGCGGCGGGAGGTGGCACGGACGCGGACGCGGGCGACATGGAGGAGGTTGATGACGCGCAGGTGGGCGACGCGCGTGGAGGAGGTGGGCCGCGTGGAGGCGGGCGAGACGCAGCAGGACGAGGAGGAGGAGGGCGACATGGAGGTGAGGGAGGCGGAGGAGGGTGTGTGGGCGCAGGCAGGTTTGCAGGTGCAGGCGGGCAGCGCGAAGGCGGGCGGAAAGCAGCGCGGGGGTGGGCAACGGGGAGGAAGGCAGTGGTGAGGTGGACGCGGGGGTCAAGGCCGGCGGCAGGCCGGATGGGCGAAGCTGGAGAGGAGGGGTGGGCATTGGGAGTGCAGGAGAGCGGAGTGGGGGACTCACCAAAATGAGGGCCGCGGTACGTCGCCGCGGCCCCCTAATTCTAATTTCCATGCTGAGGACGTCCGGATGGACATCCTCGTGCGGTGTGGATGCAGTCGGCAAGGTGGGCGAAGGACGGCATGGAGGTCGAGGTTGAGGTCGAGGGAGGAGGAGGGGGGCGGGGTTGAACGGTGTCACCAGGTGACAGCGGAGTCCAATAGCAGACGAAGGACGACTGTATAGTCGCTATCGTCTGCCTGGACGGTGGTGGGGGCGGAGCAGGAGGAGGAAGAGGAGGCGGGGTAGGGGAGGAGGAGAGCAAGGACGGCGGGAGGGACGCGTGGTGTGCATCACAGCCACGCGTCGATGCGCGCCACGCGTCCTTGCCGCCCAACGAGGCGCGCCTCCACGGGCGCGCATCACGGATCGCCAGATCCGTCCAGATGCATCCGTAGCTGCCGATAGGCTATCGCAACGGATGCACCAGGGAAATCACCTGTGCTCGCGGGAGGAGGCCTAGGCGGAGGGGAAGGACTAGAAGGAGGTGGGCGACACGGGCGGAGGCGGTCGATGCAGTGGGCGCAGAGGCCGCGCGGAAGGCCCGCCGGATGAGGCAGAATAGCCGGAGGGTGACGCACGCGGAGGGAGGCGCGGGACACTGAGGGAGACGATGCGGAGGGCGGCACGGACGCGGAGGAGCGCGACATGGAGAAGCGCGACACGGAGGAGCCGACAAGGAGGAGCGTGGGCGACGCGGGCGCGGAGGACGCGGATATGGAGGACGCGGGTGTAAAGGAGGACGCGGGTGCGGAGCAGCTAAAGGGCGACGCGGCGAGGCAGAGGCGGGCAGGCGCGAATTCAGGAGGCGGGCGAGGGGGGGGCGGGCGCGGAGGAGGGAGTCGAGGCAGGGTGGTATACAGGTCGGATGGGTGAGGCAGGAAGGGAGGGGAAGAGGTCGGAGCGGATCTCTCAAAAAAGGGCCGCGGCACATCGCAGTCAGACGACCTGGGAGTACCACAAAAATCATAACCAGACAGGGAATCGATCTCAGAAGGGAGCTCACAACAGCAAGAGACAACCCTCGCAGTAACAACTAGACTACATTGACCTGTCTGCAGGCATTTAGTGATAATCTATGTAGAGAGGATGGGTTCAGTAATGATCGGAAGCCATTGCCGCCGCCACATCGTGCGCCACATCTCTTTTCTTTCACCTCATCCTCCTTCCTTTCGGCTACCTTACGGGTGTGAGTTCTAATTTCCTGTATTCCTCGACGCTTCGCATTTCCCACTCTGCCCCGTTTCCGTTCCCTTCGGTCTCACATTACGATATCCCAGCTCCGTCTGTACCTTCTGCACGCTACCAACCACCCTATGTCTCGCTGCCATAGCTTGTGATCACACG